GTTTAATACACATCTACCTAAAAATACCCACATTTTCCAGAATTTTTTTTTGCTAAATTAGATGAGCTGCTTCGCAATTTTATGATCGCATGATGCAAATATTAAGATAATAAGAACTGAACCACTCACGAACAATTTTTTACAAGGGCGTGTAAATTCTGGCGTATGCCGTTGACATCGACATTATCGGTAATAAAAACCTCGAACTCTGTCCTGCCTTTTCCAAGTTGGATAACGAAGCAAAGTGATTGGGTCTGGTGATCAACGAGGACAAGACGAAGTATCTCTTGTCATCAAACAAAGAGTCAGAGCATTCGCGCCTTGGCACCCACGTCACTTTTGCCAGTTGTAATTTCGAGAAATTAGACAATTATGTTTAGTTAGGAACCAGCATTACACCCATAATAATGTCGGCATCGAAATCCAACGCAGAACTACTCTAGCGAGCAAGTGCTACTTTGGACTGACTAGCCAATTCGGGAGTAAAGTTCTCTCTCGTCGTACAAAGATCACACTCTATAAGTCACGCGGACATCATCTGATGGGGCGACTCTTGGAGTATTCGAGAGAATCATCTTACGGAAGATTTACACCCCCTACGCTTTGGCGACGGTGTGTAACGCAGACGATGGAACGATGAGTTGTATGAGATTTACAGCAGCTCCGCTGGCTTGGCCATGTCGTTCGAATGGGAACCGACGTTCCAGGTCTAAAAGTATTCGACTCGCAATCCGCTGGTGGTAGCAGAGGAAGAGGGAGGCGCTCACTGAAATGGAGGGGCCAAGTGGATATGGACTTGGCTTCAAGTGGCATTTCCGATTGGCGTAAGTTGGCATAGAGAGAAACGACTGGCGTGCTTTGTCGAACTCGGCCGAAATCGCTTATTCGGTTACAGCGCCAAATAAGCAGATGCAAATGATAAATGACGCAGTTGTGGGAACTTCTTTTTGGATGTGCAAAGGAACTAGGAAAACATTCCTTATAAGATTGTGGCAACGGTTAGATGAAAAAATTACATAGCCGAAGCTCTCGGTTCGTCTGCAATATCTGCGGCATAATTACCAGGTAGAAGCACTTCTCATTTAGCTCTTATGCTGCCATTGAATATACAAATCATCGAAACTCCCACGTGCAATATTTCAAGAACATCCGGCACGGGAGAAGTACTTATTACCAAAATGTAAACTCATTGTTTGGGATGAGTGCACTATGGCACATAAAAAATCGCTTGAGGAGAACAGATCAAAATAATGCTTCCGGATATTCAAGTTAATTATAGGAATCACGATTGGCTCAGTGAAGGGGGTATTCTTAAGAAGAATAAGGATGTCTATCAACTCAATAATGTTTTTCAATCCAACATTCAAAGTGTTGAAATAACAAAAAATGTACGTCGATAAACACCGTTGTGGAAGCAAATGAAGCAGTTAATTATCAAACTGAATTTTTGAACTTGATTGATCTTCCAGAGGTTACCCCTTTATACTGAAATTGGAAAAAGATGTGGCAATTGTCATGTTGCGGAATATTAATGAGCCAAAACTCTGCATCGGCAGGCGACTCGCAGTTAAGAAATTGATGAAGAACGTAGTGGAAGCAAAGATTTTAACATGGCCTTTCAAAGGTGAAGACGTCCTCATCCCTCGAATTCCCATGATTCCGACCGATATATCATTTCAGTTTAAAAGATTCAGTGCCCAATACGATTGGCGTTCGCAATCACAATTAATAAAGCTCATGGTCAATCTTCGGAAAAGTGTGGCTTAGGTTTAGCGAATAGAAAAAC